GGGTGTGGGACAGTCAGAGATGGACGGGGCATGAGGAAGTCAGAAGTGGGACGGGTGTGGGACAGTCAGAGATGGACGGGGCATGGGGTACATGTAGTCAGAAGTGGGACGGGTGTGGGACAGTCAGAGATGGACGGGGCATGGGCTAGTTAAGGGTAGGAAGAGCCAAGAAAATTGACAAGTGCATTTACCTGATACAGTTCTTTCTCTTGTTCAAACATTTCCCTCAACGTCACTAGTCGCTCATTCTTCAACTCTGCATCTTTCTCCGGCTAAAACAAAAACGACGGTAAGGTACTATGATAAGCATGATCTCATTTGCATCGGTGTGTCAAGTTTGGTAAGTGGCACACAAGAATGGAACCATTTTGAGAGGGATTACAGAATGAAATGTAATTCGACAAAATCCCTTAAACGGTCATTGAATTTGGAGAGTCCAGGCATTGTTTATGGCCATGGGTGTACTTTATTAGCAACAGTTACCGGTACTTCATACCGGTATTCCGTCATCCACAGATACATATACATGGCATTGATTTGGTGTTGTATGAGATATTCCTGTTTAAGTACTTGCTGGTCCTGTGAAATTTTTGTAAGCATGTATCAGAATCAAAATGAAATCCCTAAAATCAATTTCAAAGGCTGAATCTCAATGCAGGCACACTTTACAGTACTTTATTAACCCTAATCCCCTAGGGTGTATGTAAAGCCATTGGAATTAGAGGTTTTGGGACTGTCAACAAAATTAAAAATGGTATGTTATTTTCATGCTTTGTTTTTCCCTTTTAATTGTTAATATCTACATGTATACCTAAACGTTACAGATCGGGTGATGGTGGGTTCAGACAATGTTACAGACATTATTTTTATAAATTTCCCCTCAACATGTTTCCCTCAGATAAGTATCTATCCCTAAAACTGCAAACTTTAATCAAATTGTTGGAGAAGCTTCAAGCACCTAACCAAGAAAACTGAAGATATACAACTAGATATGTACCTATTTCTTCCTTTTTTTTATGTGGCAAATTCCTCTTTCCTTAAGGACTAACAAACAGAAACAGAATGCGAGCGGATAGCTGAAGTTGAACGTATGAGGCCATATGGCAGCCATCTGCCCTGGCATTCCATTCAATGGACATGGGACCAACCTTCTCATCCATTTTACTAACGCCTCCATCCTCCACTTGCTCCTGGACTTTAAATAGACTGGCTTTGGAGCTGCACGTAGGATACTGTTTACTTTTTTAGTGCATCTCTGGAATGTCCAGGGATGCTGAGAGTTCTGATTGATGTGGTTGGATACAAATATGAGGAGAAACAGGCCCTAATCATGTACAGGTTTAAAAATGTATTTCCACTAATGGAGTGGTATCATTCAAAGTGAATTTTCATAAAGCAGGTACATGTACGTTCTGGTACAAATACAATCCAAACCAAAAACGCTAAGCAATAAGGATCTGATATGAGTAAAACGGTTGCGGTTACACCATGGATAAATCTCTTTCTTGAGTAAGTGCGGTTCTGAGACGAACCGGGGAATAACTCGACGTTTTGAATAGTGCACTCCGTCTGTCTTCAGGAGAGACGGACAGAGTACACTATTCTCAAGAAAGAGATTGATCCATGGTGTAACCGCAACCGTTTCACTCATATAGTTCTTTCACCATGAAAACCTTCAAGTCTTAAGAATCTGTTAATCAGAAACAGTAAGCTTGTAACTTTCAATAGCTGAGAGATTTTACTTTCCTTTGCAAGACTTGCACAGAGATACACTGACATAATTGCCAACGATACGATTGTACTGTATCTCAACAACATCCACATGTGGGAAAACTCAGGTAAGGTGGGAGTGAAATTACTGTACAGTGTACAGGTTGGGTATAGCTTGGTTGGGAAGGTGGGTTAGTTTGGGCCCAGTGGGTTGGTTAGGGTCATGTTGAGTTGGGTTGGATTAGATTGGGTTGAAGTACATGTACATATAAAGTGGGTTGGGTGGGGGTGGATTGGAATGGGCTTGGATTGGGATTAGATGTTCCATTACTTACTGTAACTGGTACAGGTTGTGTAACTGAACGCCTCTGGTTGGGTTTAGCTGTTGCATTGGCCTGATGAGGGGGCGATAGAGGAGTTTGGTTCTTCATTCCTGGTGGTAAGCCCAGTAAGGTCAATGCCGCGTAGGAAGCAGCTGCATTGTGGGCAACAACATGAACCATGAAAGGAAAAACATACACGTACATGTAAGTCTGCACGCTAGGCATGCAACTTGGACTTTGACAAAAAAAGGAGAAAATTCCAATCTTTGTGCAGTGTTTTTCAATATTCAAAGGCATGCGTGTGAGGTGAAAAATCAGGAAATGAGCTAATCCGAGGAAGTGTGCCTGATACGCATGTCTTCAATTCATACATGTAACTGAAATGATTCCTAATCTGTCCACTGCATATTCTTTTTCCTCTATCAAAAGACTGCAATTGATGAAGAGTTTCTTACAAAGTCAGGTCTCCCCAAATTAACCAGGCTCAAGAAGCTCTGTCTATACATGTTCCAGTGTGCCAGGTACTGGGTAATTTGTCAGCAGGCTGTTTGCAGCAGCTGTTTCCTTTCTGTTTTTAGCTTTATTAATGGATCCGATTTATTTATATGAAACATTTTAGTGTACATTTGGGACAACATATGAAGTAGTCTCAAGATTTCCACAGCAGATAAACCACTGGGACAGGGAATGAGAAGACACAGAGGGGTTGAAAGAAACTACAGGGGATGAACCATGGTATTCATCATCCACTCAGCCTAGAAAGGGGAGGTCCATAGGGAAATTCTGCATTCATGCTACTGGCTAGAAGGCAATAAATCCATGGAAAGATTGCTATGCTCTGAGCTCATGCCACTATCAGTCTAACTTTGTTGGTTTACAAAAACTACACCAAAACATTTTTTTATTTGTTTAAGAACTGGAGACAAGTTGACTCAAAATCAAGTAAATTAGCTGCATGTGTATTAATTTTCTTCTTTGATTTAATCGCCTTTGCTACAAAATAAACAAACTTGGATTTGAATCAAGAAATTTAAATCAATTAATTTGATTAAATTCACAAGCCATTTCTGCCCTTCCTTCCAAAAAAATTACATATGTTGATTTAAATCAGAGATTAAAAAAAACATTTGATATAAATAGCCATTTAAATCAGTGATTTAAATAAAGGTGATTTTAATCGGCCAACCCTGACACAAAATGTTACATACAAGTACAACATCTACATTTAAATGTCAATCAAATTACATTAATGCACACATTAGGAGTTTGGATTAAAAACAAACGCATGAAATGGTCGTCTTACATCTGCTCAGATACATGTACATGTAGTCTCTCTTAAAACCTAATACATGAATTGATGTAAACTGACACAAAATCTAAGCCTAAGACAAATTGTAATGTATACTCACATCGGATGAGCTTCACAACTTCAAGGTGATTGCAATTTGTGACAAGGGTACCATTCACCTGCATGTGAGACAAGGACATCAATTATGGTTGGAGAGGCTAGCCTTTCACTGATACTGGCACACTAATTATTTCAACACCACGACGGCTTGCTTGCTTGACAGGAACATGTAGGTAGCACTCCTCACACAGAAACTGATGAATAAGACGTGGCTTACACATCCAAACAGGTTAACTCCTTGAAGCTATTTCGAAAATGTAAAAGTTGCTATATGCAAACCTCTCCATCAAAATACAGATTGATTAAAAATTTAAACTGAAATTAATGATAGGTTATCTATTTCTTTAAGTCCAGATTGTTTCTAAAGCAAATACATGTACACGGACCGGCACACAGAGACCTGACAGAAATATTGGTTTTAAACTGCTTTCAGAAATGTACACGTAGACACTTTTGCCCCCGACTGAAACTGATCTGCCCTTTTTACATTTTGGACAAAATCCACAATGCGTATGCATAAGATTTAATCCTGTAAATAAAGACAATTACATGGAGAATGAAGTGGAACATCTGTACAGGAAGGCACTTGAGATGAAATCCAGGGGTTACATGTACATTGTACACAGTGCTACATGTATGAGCAAGGCACTGCTACATGTACATGTACATGTATGTAGGTTTTCATGTCATCCTAGACAGCAAGGCAAAACAACTTCTCAACCAATTTGCATTACTGAACAGCACATGCACTCCTCCTGAAAAACACACTGAGGGAAACCTTAGTATAATTGCGGAGGCTAATCTGATTGAATGGTGCCCAGACACCTCTGGCTGGGGGCACAAGAAATCAGATGCACAATTTAAACATTCACAAGGGGGTTGGCAGTGGAATATTGTGAATCAAGATGGGAAAATTTTCCTGCAGATAGTGCAGTCAGTTTCTTCCTCTATGGTGCAACATGCATGCCGTTAAATTACCCTGAGGAGGTGAGGTACCATCCAACAGTTCAAAAACATTTTAAAATCAAATAGAAATTAATTTCAGAATTGAGGAAACTATACACTGCAAAGCATAGCTTCCACAGCGATGTACTGGCTGCTGGCTCCATTTGATAGCCAAAGACACATCCCAAGAGGTGTGTTGTCTCCAGCCAACACAAAATTGTCATGTACTGTACATGTACACACTACGAAGATCTAACAAAAGAAACAGGGTGCAATAACAACAGACGCTCATGTACATGAACCGGCACCAGTACTAGGGTATAGTAACAGATCTTTTGCTGTCTCTGATTTGTTATGACAACTGAATACTCATAACAATGAAACCCAATGGAACTATGGGTAATGTTCCAGTTACAAACAGAGAAACAATCTTTTCAACCAAGTCGGTTTCATCAGCATTGGCGCATTCATTAAATGCTCTCCCAAGATAAATTGACCACAGTACCACGTCTACACAGGTAAAAGCTGTTTCAACAATCATTCAAGTTCACAAATTTGACAACTGAATCTAATGAAACGAGAAGATCTTTTGCAGCATAAAGGTCTTAAGCATGGGGCAGGAATTCCTATAACTCTGTCTTCTTGATGTAAGCAGTTGCTGATGGGTGTTAGCACCAACTTCTGGAACCCAACAGCGGAGAACGTGATTCCCATCTGAGACAACATTCCTGTCGACTAGTGTGTACATAGTCCGTCACTCTACTGCCATGTCAACCATGGCAAGAATGCAGCCTGTTCAGACTGGAATCCAAGACTAATAGTTACACTGACAGAACTGCATTCTGTCACACACAGCACAAACCCTTTGCTAGTGGTAAACAGCTTTATACAGAGACTGTGTATACATCTGCCTAAAAATATCCACCACATGTATTGCTTCACATTCTCCAAGTCACGTAAAATCAGACAATTTTAGCCCAACGGTGAAAAGCTAAACCGTCAGCTTCAAGGCTATCGTCACGATTTACAAATATACATGTAACTGCTCTTCATGTTAACTGAACTAGAACTCCGTCTACAATGCAAGGAAGTGTCTGAAAGTACACATGCAAGATGACACTAGAGGGACGAGAGACCTGAGGAGACTGAGCTGAGCTCCTGGAGCAAAGTGATCTGCTTGGTGAAAGATCTTCTCCAGTTTCTCTTTGTCCACACTGACCAAGACTTTACCTTCACAGATCCTCTAATATTTATGGCAAGATTTTGAGATTTCAGTCGTGTTCCCATTGGACTTTTTTGGTTAACTTACCGCGACTTTCCTGTAGAATTACAAAATGAAATCCAATGGGAACACACGGTAAACTGACGTCCATGTCAACTTACCGCAATCGTGATGTAAAACTAACAGGCTAAAAGGGTCACGGAAGATTTCCGTGCAGCCACGGTAAGTTAAATGTAGCAGGGGCACACAAAAAGCCCAATTGGAATAGTTGCCATACAGTGTAGATAGATCGCGACCACACTAAACCTACGAACCAGACTACTGTCTACACAGAGATCGACAGCAGGCACGCGAAAATGCTTGTATGGTTCCTAGTCTCCAGCTCCATGCATACAATACAGCGGCATGCCATGCACACACAGTGAAGCATGCCCGGATAAAGTTACATTGTTTATGCACATTGTATATGGGGGCTTTTCCTGTACGGGTTCATCTTACATGTATTTGTGGCAGATTTGGACAAATTCGTCGATATTGTCGTTTTTTGTCAGATTTTGCCGCTTTCGTGTGATTTGTACAGCACAGGCAATGTAATCAGCTAGTCTTGTTAGGCCTAACACAGCAAATAAACATTCCGTAACGTTAAAAAAAAGTACACATGGGAATGCGCAGTACCGACACAAAGGAATGTTGTGGTAAGTTTCCACGTGCCTGCGGAAGAAAAAGTCCGATGGAAACACGCCTTTTGAATAGATTTGATGCTCCTTGAAGCAGACAGATTGTGCCTTTGGGTTCTCCTACAGTGAATACAGCTATTCAGGGGTAAGAGACTGGAAGATAACGAGACATTCAGGAAGCATTTACTAGAAGCACTGGATGTAAATGACGCAACCCCCCCCCCCGTGTCACATGCATAGCAGTACTTGTAACATTAGATCATGTTCAATTGTCCTCTTCCTATAATTAAGGGCCAGTTATTTCTGCAGAAAAGACTGCTGTATCTGAGATTATTTTCTTGAACGTCATTGTTTTAGATCATATGACAGCATGCAGGTGAAAAAAAAATGTTCTCCAAAGTATTTTGATTTATGGGCAAATGTTGATTTAAAAATTTGACCAGAAAACTGTCTATAATAATGACTACCTCTTCCTACATTTACCTGTATATGTATATCAGTGGCTTCATTGTCAGAAAAAAAGAATGGAAAATTTACACATTTAAAAACTGTGCACTTTTTTATATACAACGGGTTTGCCCTTACCCAACGTATATTAATAATGCACTTTTTGTTAAAAAAGGACACCTAATAGTTTTAAACTTTGAGAGATGAAAGTTTCAACAAATACACTCCCACGTCGTACCCCTTGAACTTAGAGCGGTTCAGTCCTACAACAGACCCTCAGGCAATGTACATGTACATACCGGTAATCCACTCAACATGGATTGAATGTAACAATGGACAATTTCAGGTGTCTGGAACAAAACTTGGGCAATTAGGAGATACAGATAAATGTATTGGTGGTGCTGTCAGAGCCACTGTGCACGTCCATGTACTTCACACAGCTAATAATGGGAAGTACAGGAATGTTATGTGCATGCTACCTACACATAGAGTCCATGTTCATCATACATGAACGTGGACCCTACATACCGTACAAAATGTACTCCTTTGCTTGTATTTGTCGTTTTGACAATGGTTTAGCTTGTATCAATTCCATGTGATATAAATAGAACACTGAGCTAACATTCCAACCAGCAAGTTCCGAGTTTGACTTACTCATAAATCTACTCAATGCTGCAATTTTATAAAGTAAACACTCTGTAAAACTGGATTTTTTGTTTTTATTTCAAAGACCTACCTGTACACCTGAAGCCAACAGTACAATCTTTAGGTGACAGCCAGTCCATGAATACATGTACATTCTGTAAACTTCATTTTTTTCTCAGTTCATTCTGAAACTTTCCCAAAGCGGATGATGCAATTTCTCTCTCGTTATGCAGAAGCAATTTGATATTATTGCAAAAAGTATGACAACTGACAAGTTTTCTCATCGTTTCGTTTGTCTTTGGTCAATTCATAAAAGGTCAATGGAAACTTGAGCCAGGCAATAACGACTGGGGTTGTCAGAACGTAGTTTGCCAAACACAGACAGGAAACCTGAGATAAAATCAACAACTTACAGAAGATGAGACAAGAAATCCATAGGTATCAATCCACGGATTTAAATCAACATGACACGCTGCAAAATCAACTCAGCACACATCTCCCACAATCAAAACTGGAATTTGTTGACGGTGCAAATGTGAGAAAAAAAAGAACAACGTCGTGATTTCCACATCAATATTAAGCATCCAAGGGTTGTAGGACCAGCTGCCTCAGCATTTGCCGTGTGTCTGCGTCTGTGTTAAGTGCATTAATGAGACATTGGATGAGGACGGCAATCTCTGACCACAGTCTGTGTATGCCCAGATGCAGACTCGGGATCTCTGAAATGGCAGAGCTATACATAGCTGCGAGGGATGAGTGACAGACAGGGTGGAATGGTGACCACATACTAGGATTCCTAGCAAAGACGTCAACCAGGCAAGACAGCCTCATCAAAATATGGCTAGCTTCAAGAAGTTAAAGGGGTGTACAAGTGCCATGTTGTGGTGAACATTATCACGAATTGGTTGGGTATACTGGCACACACCACCAAAGGCTTTCTGCAAAGTCATGGATGCTGCTGCAATCAAAGAACTCTTCACAGAAATCTAACACTGCTTAAATTTCTGACTTAATCACTTAGGTAAAACTACAATCAGTCAAACAAAAAGATGAAATTTTAAAGCAAAGCAATGGAAAATAAAACTAAACAACAAAAACAGTCTGGTGACAATTTTTTAAAGCT